ATATATATATATATATATATATATTTGTGTGTATGAAAATGACAAGCAATGGAGAATATATTACCGAAATGTTCCGTGGTGGCAGGTATTCATGACGTGCGCGTAATATTCTGTCATAGTCGTCGTTGTTGTCAGTTGCTTGTTGGTTAACGAGCCCATTTTCACAGGTATGTGTGGAAATTTCCTTGCAAAATAGTCCAAGCAGTTCTACAAATAAAAGCTACATCTGCGATACTTTACTGACGATTCAAATATCACTAAATATCACTCCCACCTCCTCCCTCTTCTCCCCTCCAAAAAAAAAAAAGCCTATGGCCATCAAAGCAAAGTACTGAAAGAAACCAGGAGAATTAATCCAGGGTAGAAAGAACTAGCAGAGTTGAGCTCAATGTTTGGTTACACTCCAAGAGAGCTCAAGAAATAACAGAATGTGCCTAAAAAGAAAAGTAACTCGAGAATGAAGACATTTAATGAGAAAAAGTCAAATGGAACTTCAAACATTAACTAACAGCTCGTAAACTGCCAGTGCTTGCCCACATCTGAACACTACCAGAGAAGCTGGCTGAAGACCATCTGTTCGCCAAAATGAACAGTTCGAATAAGGATCGAATTCCCAATTTGCGACTTCGCATCAACAGATCAAACTGGGGGTATAAGTAACGCTGCTCAACTACACCAAGGATCAGTGATAAAAAGCATTGATAATAAATGAATCTGACAATTTTCTTCAAAAAATCAAACAAGCAAGAAAATGTTATTACGTCCAAAAAATCTGTTGCATGTTCGATAATTGCCGCGACGAATACCGGAACTCCGTTCTCTTCCGATAAACCATAAATGGCAAATTCCGACGAAAACTGCTTCAATTCTGTTTCATTAAAATTTTCAACAAGTTTCGCCCAATCAGTTTTTACTATCGATGCGCCACCATTCGGATGTTTTATTACTTCCACATATTTCTCGAACTGAAACATCAGTGCGCAGTGTTAACAAAGGTAAAGAAAAAACGCTCAAGAGGCCGAAATTTCATATAAAACTTCATTCTAAACGACAGGAAACGTGAACGTACCTTAATCTTATAGTATGATTTTGCAAAAGACGCAACCTACCGTTAATTCGCATAATATTTTATTCCTCAAAAACGCCATCAGTCTGCTCGTAAACAAGCTTCAAAATCTTAGCCGTCAGTATCGCAGTTAAAACTTGCTACTGCTAGAAGCTGAATACGGATGGGTCTTGACTTCTTGCTCTCACTTTTCAGAAAACTATCTGGAAGACAAATCTGAAGGCGGTATGCGGCCCTACAAGAGAAGCTAATAACAATATGCAACAGTAAATCTCACAAACGACTATAAATATCACTTAATTGGCCTGGATCATGACGGCAGAGGCACAAAAAAGTGCAAAGATGCAACGGTAAAAATACATATAACTCAAAATGCCGGCGTAGAATTTAAGGACACAACTATTCAGGCTATCCGAAGGAAGTCTTCAATGAAAGGGATCCGAAATCTTCCGTGTTAACAACGTTACTGAGACGCGAAAATCTTAAATATCAGTGTAGTCTCATGTCTCATGGAAGTGCAATGCAGCGAAGGCAAAACGCTATTTAAACTGTTTAAAAATAACTCCTTAACATGCCGCACCGATATCCGGCATAATAAGTCGTTATTTTTAATGATGATGAGAAAGAAAGCGACCTTTTCGGACATCTTTGGTGTGCTGTTCGTTCGTTTAAGAGATGGAATTAAGATGTTTGTACGTGCACCGTATTTACCGCTCCGTCCCCGTGACGAAGCAGAACTGGTCGACGCTGATGCTGCGCGACGGCTGAAAGCAAAATTTCCAAAGTTACCGGAGCGCAAAGGAATTAATATCTCGGCAATGTATTGAATGCTGCCAGATTTACTAATGCAGAAAATGATTGCTCAAACTGTAAAAAAAATCACATTCTAAAAGCCACTCAGTAGCATTAGACGGAACATTAAAGCCCCTGCAAGTTGTTCATCTGCAATTCAGTTTGTTTTTCATTATTTCATCCCAAATAATTGCACAAATGCACGCAATGCTGAATTTCGCAAGTTTTTTTTTTT